TCATGCTACGGGGACTGTATTACTTATGAATTCGAAAGTGACTGCCTAGGTGTATGTTGAACTGATTTTGATGTATGGTCCTTGATGAAGGTCACGCAGATGAATCCTCTGATAACCGCTGGAGGTCCTCCATAAATCTAAAATTAACACCAAAAATACGAAAATATCGGTGATAAATGCAAATAAAAACATCGGTCTGACTGTTGGTCTAACGTGGGTGAACAACCTTTAGGTAAATTGTTCAATACAAAAGTGAAAGGTGTGTCGGTTAAAAACGGAAATCTTATAGGGTCACTCAGTTGTCTGTCTGTCAGTCACAGTCAGTTTGCTCGGAATCTGCTGAACCGATCAAGTAGAAATTTGGTTCATTACATGTAAGTCTGAGACTGTGTAAGTGAAGTAAATAAATAAGTTTCAATTATTCATCATTCATCAATTATTATTCAAGGTTACATTTTAAGGGTGAATTAGCAAATTTAAATTAAGTTAACTGTAACGAGATATATATCAAATAATAGGGCTGAATGTGAAGGATTCAAACATTTTATGAATGTAAAATGAATATTATTTAATAAAATAGTTGAAAATTGACCTGTCCCGCCTCATTACCTTCGAAACCACTAGGGACGTCTAAAAATTTGAACATATATATGGATTCTAAATATTTACTTACAGATTACAGGAAAAGCTATAAGAAATGTATAGTGTTTAAAATAAAATTAATATTTAAGGGGCTTGATACAACAGAGGTGATTCTTTTGCCGTTTTTTACTCGATATTATATAGTGTCTTATGTTGTATAGATAACATGCTGTGCCACGCGGTGTTACCCGCGGTTTATTTTTTTATAGATTATCCCATGGGAATAAGATATTTTCCCGCAGTAAAACGTAGCCTATGTGTTAATCCAGGATGGCAGCTAACACCATACCAAATTTTATTAAAATAAATTAGCTCCAGCCGCTAAGCCATGAAGAAGTATCAAACATACACACTCACAAACTTTCGCCTTTATAATATTAGTGTGATGGTACGGAACTCGACTCGCGGAGTCCGACTCGCACTTGGTTGGTTTTATTCTAGTAAAATTTTCTTTAGAATTGAATGTGAGATGTTGATTTCTTTAATATTTTTTTCGTAGAGCTAGGATGAAATGAAATCTTCTTTATAATTAATTTAAAGGAAAAATGTTTTTTCATATGTATTTATTTTTTTCTTGGGTGAAATATTTCATGGCCTTTTAGCGGGCATAAATATTTCAGATGATGTCCCGACGTTCGCGGCTCGAGGCTCGCGGAGTCATGTGATAAATTGGCCACGATTTGTAGCGGCCTTTCGGCGAATGACGACAAATTGTACAATTTTATTGCGGAAAAGTAAATTGAGGATATTAAGATTATCTGATTTTGGGTGCCCTACTTAAAGAAGTCGTTATTTGAAATGGTATAATCACTACTACATTTTTATAGACAACAGTCAACTAATGCAAAGTCATGTGATAGATTTTAGTAACTTGTGTACCAAAAAATATTTCGTTAATTGTTCCGTACTTTAGAAGGAAAAGATCGGAACTCTTACAGGATCACTTTATGGTCCGTCTGTTAAGCCTTTAAGACCCTTTATCTCTGGAACGCGTGGAAGTATCGAGTTGAAATTTAAACCCTATACTCAGGTCTACGGTCCCTTGAAGCTGTGAAAATACAAACTCAAAAAAGATACGACCGTTTACGTTGTGTACTTACAAATTTCTACGAAACCGTCGGTTGGTGAGTCCGACTAGCACTTGTCAGGTCCTTTTTTTCTCTTTACAACACATACGGTCCGAGGTGTTTAAATAAATCAAAATAATTCATACCAAAAATGGCATATTAGGTTATTTTGATATCATCATCATCATCATCAGCCTATTAATGTCCCAGCTGCTGGGGCACAGGCCTTCCCTATGGATGGAATAAGGAGATTGGGCCATGACCCACCACGCGGGCCCAGTGCGGATTGGCGGTGCTAACGACTGCAGATGCAGCCAGGACCAACGGCTTAACGTGCCTTTCGAAGCACGGAGGAACTCGAGATAGATGTCTTTGGTCACCCATCCAATGACCGACCACTGCGAAAGTTGCTTAACTTCAACCATCGCAGCCGAACGCGCTAACCCCCTGCGCCATCGAGCTCCTCTTTTATGTTTTATGAGGTTATTTTGGTATACATAATAATAATTACTTTGTTAATCTGCTCTTGTTATGACTATATTGTATTTAAAAAAAGAGGAAGGGGGCTGAAGCTAAAATACAGGATGAACCTAGTTTGACTGAGGATGTATTTACGTACTTTAATTATGGCCTTAGTTTAAACATGTGCAAGTAAGAAAGACCATGTGCAACTTATTTACAACTAAATATATTGTTATTATTATGTAAGAGCACCTTAAGATACCAACAGCCCATTGGTCATTTCTCATTTCGTATTATCCATTTTCCTCTAACATTTCGCCTGTGTGGTTCCCAAATTTCCACACCTGATTAATATTTCAAAGCGCGTCGGGCAGCCAGCGAAAACGTTCCCACTGAACATAATCTCCGTTTTCACAACAAACTGTGTAAGGGATATTGAGTTTCAAGCTCGTCAAAATTCGCAATTATTGCCTACCTACAAAGCTAAAGGTTGGACTTTGAAAATTAAATTAGAAGGCGGCACGGAATAAGTTTTCTTCTTTTGTCAGAATACCATATTAGATACCAGGATGGATGACGCTGGAGTGGCAATTTGATTTTACTAGTTTATGATGTTTTCTCTAATATATCAAAAGAAAGGTAATCGTTGATTGATAGATACCACCCATAAGAGGCAATCACCTTAGCTCAACTACTGTTGGACTAAACGATAATATATATACTACTAGTCCGGTCAAATTAGACAGAAAAATAAGAGTGAAGGTGCACAAATTCCCATCAAGCTGAGAGTGAGTACAATTGTTCAAAACATAATTAAAATCAAATATAACAACAAGTAGAAGTAATTGCAGATTATGAATCGGACGAATAACTTTTTCTACAGATTTTTTATTTCCATCGCTTCTATCAATTCCAACCCTTGCTTGTATTTGTTAATTAATACCTGTGGAATAGGCCTACTGGGGAAACCACGTTAAAAAACGCGCTAAGTACACTACCTCAGAGGTGGCGTAGAAACATGTGTATATTAGGACGCTTACAACTTTAAATCGTTATAACTCAGGCATGGTGGCTCTTAGGAAAAAGAATATTAATACTTTTTTTATAGATAATTTTATGATCTACATTTTTTGTCAAAGATCATTTTACGATGAAACTTGCCGTTTTGATGAAAATAGCGAAGACCCCATTTTTTGACCTTTGATCTCGTGTATTTTTTTCCATGTTCCAGTACGATGGGGAATTTTGATATGTTATTTTTAATAAGGTTTTGAACAATTGTACTCACTTTCAGCTTGATGGGAATTTATGCACCTTTGAATGTCTAAATTGACCGGACTGTACTATACTTAGGCATTTTATCGTACTAAATTACGAATTCTCTTGTTCTTCACATCGCTCAAATGACATTTACGATTCGATAAATAAAGACAAAACACTGCTTAACAGAATAATTAAGGCGAACTAGTCTAAGCTTTTGTTATATTGTGTTTATTTATATTTTATATTTGTGTAGGTAGTTACGAGTATGAGCTATCATATAACGGCCGGATATAGAAACGGACAGTATACACAAACACACATATCAAACACGTAACCTTCCCTTCTGTATTACCGGAACCGGAACAGAAAGACTCTTGATATACTACCGTAGTTCTATCCCATTGAAAAGATTTGAAACCCAACTAACCGTAAGAAACATTACACCACCTAAAGATTCTGTTATTGAACTGTGATTATGTGTGCGGTGAAAGTTAATTTCCCCAAACGGCTGCTCCTATACGAGCGGAATATTAGCTTTGCCCAACCCCACTTCACTTATAAGGTGTTAATGTTTTCCTGTTCACTAAAGTAACATAAAATTGTAAAACTGCAATGTATTTCAAGGTACGAGGCTTTGCGAAAAATGGTCGGACTGGATGTTTTTTCTTTCTTTGCTTCGCTGGGAATTTTCTCGCCCCATTCATTATTCACAAGTCCGCTGCCAAATGCCGTTAGCCGTACGCTTTATTTGAACTTTTAAACAATGTATGTCGTTAATTACATAACGAATCCCTTTTGTTTTGATTGATTTGTATTATTTGTTATTTGCATCCATAATATGTTTCAGCTTGCCTTATAAAACGAAGCCATTTCGAACGAGAAATATTTACAAAGCATTCGGTACTGGCAGCGAATAATTTTTCCTGTATTTATTTCTTCTGTCATGCGACAAATAACATTATCCTATCCATAATTTCGTTATCAACCCAAATGTTTAGAGGAAATTTTATCTTATATGAGAGCGTTTGTTGTAATTTATTCATCATATCAAGTAGCGCCGATCATTGTGTATAAGTATGCAGGCATTACATACGTCTGCGAATATATTCTCTCGCAGACTTTCATCACTTTTTATTTCGTCAAACGGGCTTTGGCATCAATCCAGACATATATATTTGTTCGAGATGAACTTCAAACTTCCACACGTACGCAAGGGGATTGACGGAAGGTTGAGCATTAGCAGAGACAAATAACATAATACTACGGTCGAACCAAACCTATTTGCGGCAATAATATTCGAATATTGAAATACCTTACTCGTGATCTATATTTGGGAATCATTCCACGTATCTTCGGATAGCCATTCACAGCTTAACCATTTGTAGTTAAGATATTTAATCAACGAATCTCGTCGAATTCTCTACACAAAAGACTTGTTTTTTATTAAAGAAGTATTCAATTAATCATTCTTTTTTTTCATTAAATGCATTTAATAAAAATCGTCATAAAGAACTGTTAAAATTAGTGATTTAATTGGTTTTAAAGCATAAAAAAAGATCTTTTCTGTTAATTGAATACTGCGTATATTTTATAAATCACTTGAGCGACGTTTCCAAATGTGTCGTGGTTCATTACAAATATGCCGACGGCGGTATAACAGAGCGGGTGCTGCGACAAACACAGCATTAGCTGTATCATTCTTGCATGTTTAATTTTCATTTCCTCCCAACCGCACGAGTATATTGCAAAAGACATATCCGTTCCCGCATTTATAAGCATTTCTCCACCAAAACAATATACCATCAGAGGCATGATTCCTGTGACGCCGGTCAGAATTGTGTTCATAATCCCCCATGAGTTTAATGTCTGCAGGGTTGTAACTAGCACTATAATCATTATCAGAAAATGCACTCCAAATATACCCTTGTACAGGTCGCATATCCTGTGGTGGTATCTGAATAGGTACTGGTGATGTTTCAAACAAAATCTTATCAATTCTTCGACTTTCTTATGCTTGTCATTCTCGGATACATAAGAGTCTATGTGATCGTTGTTTTGTTCTTTGGTATGCTGTTTGTCATGCAAGATTTTATGGATGTCGTTAAATGTATCGCAGATTGCGTAAAAATGCCCAAGTTCATGTGATAGTAGAGTCACGAACAGGACAATGTAAACAGTTTGATTGAACGCAGAGAACATTGCAGCGACGCATGTTAGAGTAAAGGTGATTTCGTAGTTAGGGCTCTGGTATTTCGAGGAAATTCCTGTAAAACAAAAATTTGTAAACTATTTTATATCATCTTAATTAATTATGTTTTTGCGCAAACAACTCATTAGATAAAACAGTGTTTCAACGGGTTTGAAAAGCGTTTTTAATACTTTTATACATTTACATTTTCTTAACTATTAAAAACTCATTTTGAACCCGTTGAAACAGTGTTTTATTGATCGTAATTAATCAAAATATTTTACATAAATCGGTGTCTGCTTTTTCAATGAATCAAATTGTGGAGTATACATTTTGTATTACATATTATTATTATATAAGTTATTTAAAGTTGATCATACAAAAGCGTACAACTACGTAAGTACGTAAGCGTACTTTATACAACGTGATGTAATGTCCAACAAAAAGTTGCTTTTTACGGTTACAGTAAATACTGTGTCATGACATTAATAAACGTGCACCATTGAAAAATATGTACTGTGTTTTTGTTTATTGCTGTCAATATTGTATACGTACTAAGCACACACCTACTACTGATATTATAACTGTCAAAGTTTGAATGTTTATTAAACCACGCAAAAACGGCTGAACGGATTTGGATGAAATTTAATACTTACCTATAATTAATGACCTGGATACAATTTATCCCAGATGAATGTTAGGTTCCTGTGGGATTCTCAAAAAACTAAAGTTAACGCTAACAAAGCGACCGCTAGTATTAAATAAAATAAGAAAGACCTCATTATTTGTATACTATTCTCTTTACCATAAATATCTCCAGGTGTAGTTGGCAGATATCTTTCACTGCCAAAAATGGTCATTACGAATGGCAGAATCATGTAGAATACGTGGATGAAAGCCTGGTTCAGGATCACCATCCATGAGACGAAACTGGCCTTTCTGAGCACTCTCCTCATCGTAGCATGAGCTGTACTTCCTTCAGGAAGTGACAGCATACCTTGACGACTCATCTTCATTATTACGCTTAGGCGAAAGCTTTAACAAAATATTCAACCTGCTTTATGTGACTTTTATGATATTTTTTAAAAGAAAACTTTTATTACATCCCCTCAATTTATTTGGATTAACATTACTAACGTATGATCGGATCTTTACATCGTAACAGGTAGTTCAATTGAAATATAACTATTGTATTTTCTATATGTTGTAATACTGTAAATTTAAACGCATTGCAAACTATTATAAGAATAAATCTTCAAATGTAACACGTCACACATAATTTATTTTTAATAACATTTTTCCTTCTATTTATTTTGTAATTTAGTTGAATTTTAAAATAAGAAAAACTTACCTTGAGGAGTGCATAAAGATATATTTGGACAGAGGCACAATCGTCGAGCTGAAGCAGTTCATCGCTTGGAACCTCCTGATCTTGTCCGAGAGCACTTGAAAGAAGAAAATCCCTTGGCTGAAAGGTCCCACGTACACGAAGGTCCCGCAGAATGCGATGGTAGTTATTATAGATGCAACAGTGAATTCTAAAATTAGAGTTGTATTTTTAGATTTTGTGGTACCTAATTTGTATCAATAACAATATTGGCGTTCCGTGAATATCTATAAATGTACCTTGGAAAGCATTGAGATTGTGGAAGAAATTCATTTCGAAATAATACATTGATATTAAAGGAAATTATTGTTTTATAAACAACAGAAATAAGTATGTATAAATCCTAGAATAAGAAATCTTAGCGGCCTGCAGTAACGGCCGTCGAAGCACCAGAAAAAAATGTTAACAGTAACATTGAACAATGTCAGCGCCATTGTCTAAGTATCCGTGTTTTCTTAAAATAGCTAAGATTTTCGGGAATAATTGATTTACCATATCATCCTACGACATATAAGGCAAATCATAGTAAGTAAACAAGCATGTTAAAAAGTAGAAGATCTAGTAAAATCTTTTCTAGATCTAAACTAGTTTTCTGTGCACTCCATTCTATGCGAAACGAGGTGGATCCATTAATTAAAGAAAAATAATGTTATGCTTATTAAATGAGCATCTTTAATTAACATGCAGAATCTTTTATGAAGCTTAAGAGAAAATTTCATTTTAATTATTTTTCTAAGCTGGATGGAGAGGAATAGAAAAAGATAGGCCAAGTACGAGTCGGACTCTCACAGGGAGAGTTTTAAAATAATGCAAGGTATTCAACTCTAAGTCGAAAAAAAGGAAAATGTCACATTTCTGGAATGGGGTCCCTATTGTATGGGAGCGGGTATGTAAACACACTTTCGGTGAAAATAAATAGTGTCTACTACAAGGTATTCATTAAAATACATCCTACCTTAAGGTGTACACAAGTCTACCTATTAGGTTTCATGAAAAATACGACCTGCTGTAAAGAATTCACGAAAGCGGAGGCCAATAGTGATGATAGAACTCTTACAATAAAAAATACTGGCTGTAAACTTTATCAAGCGGATATTATAAGTGTATCAAGGGGCAGAATTTCTGCGGATCCAATTCTAGGAAATGGGTTGTCGTCTCCACAAATGTGAATGTAATAAGTTCTAAATATGTTGCTGACTTGGTTGTCCCACAACGTCTTGGATTACTTACTTTAATATGCATTACTTACTCTTCTTGTTTTTATCTCCAAATGTATTACGTATTCCAACAATATGTGCAATACTATCGATCATGCGCTCCGAAGCCTCCAAATGATCTTCATCATTTGATATCAATGAGACTTGCAACTTCCTTACAATATTTTGAAACATTTTCGTTCAAATTCACGTAGAAATATTGACTTGAATTTCTGTGACTCTCTTTATATGTTTGCTTGTGGATAATTGACTGTTAAGTGGTGTGTTATTGTAATTGATATGATTGTTATAATTTTGGTAGACATATTTTTACTGTTAGGGAACATTTTTATTTTATGTTAAAAGTCAGTTCCTCATCATCATCTCCCTATTCCATCCATAGGGAAGGCCTGTGCCCCAATAGTGGGGACATTAATGATGATGATGAAAAGTCAGTTGCACATTTTATTATAAGATTTTGCGATGTTTAAAATATTCTAATGAAAGATAAAGTTTTTGAAGTTATACTTCTTTTAGGCGCGTTATGAAAAAATGATGAGAGTGAAATTTTAAGATGCGCGCGCATCACTGTAACACAAAATTTTGACAGCATGAAGTTGGTCGCTTTAGCGACCAACTTCATGCGTTACTTTTGTGTTTACCGCACATTAAGAAAATCTACCAACAAAATAGAAATAGAATCTCTATTTAGTGGGTGCTAACGACTACATTGTGAAGGCCTATCAAAAGTATTTATTAATCTGGAACAACGACTACAGCGCCATCTCTTGACCATTGGTGTAGTAAAACCAAAAACCACATATTTATTTTTTGTAATAAAGTAACAGTTATAGGTATTCATATTTATAATATCAAAAGTATTTATTAATCTGGAACAACGGAACCAAAGCGCGATTCAGGAGACTACAGCGCCATCTCTTGACCATTGGTGTAGTAGAACCAAAAACCACATCTTTATTTTTTGTAATAAAGTAACAGTTATAGGTATTCATATTTATAATATTTATCCACATGTTTCTAGTTTGTATATTCGGAATACGTGTTTGAGTTTCATACAAGTGCAAATCACATATATGTTCTAATAAATTATATTCTAAAAAAATACCACTTGAGCCAGGCATCAGATGGGATTCGAACCCGCATCGTCCGCTATCCGGGCGGATATCCCTTATCTACAACTAGTTACAACTTTCTGTCGAAAGAAATATCTCAGAAAACTTTATATATATGTTCGGATGAAAGTGAAGGAAAACGTGATTTCATTTGTAAGTTTGTAAAAAGATTTCTTTAATAGGTATACGGAGAGCTATTCCAGTTTATTGCTTCATCGCCCCTTGCAGTTTAAATTTTCAGTCTCCGGAGAAATGCTCTTTCGCATTTGATATTTGATATTTTTGTACCTTCAATAATATCACTATCTGTATTCTTCAGAGTGCTCTTCAGAATATCAGATTTTTACTGTATACAGTTGAAGTGTTTATTTACCTTCACAACTCAAATTTGTGCTTGATTATTTGACGACTTCTGTGCACTTCTCCGTGCCGCGAGTGGTATGTACACCGGGATTCAATATGTCACCTACTCAGAGGTCCCGGGATCGAATTCCGGTGGGGCAAATGTTAGTTTCATGAATACCAACATTTGTACCTAAGTTATGGATTTGTTAAACTTCTAGATTAAATATACTTATATATTTATCAGTATATGTATTCTAACCGTTATCCTAGTATTTCATAATAAAAGCCTTACCGTGCTTATTTTGGGGCTAGGCTAACTAGGCTAATAGGTATTTGTAAAATAAATACATATCTATTAATAGTAAAAACAGTATATTGCATTTTCAAGCATCACCCTTATCCCGAAGTACGTTACTAAGCATATTAATTTTAGAAATTCGAACGCTGAATGAAGAAATGATTTATTTTTATTTGAATGAATGATTTATTTTTCTCTCACAAAGTAACATTATAATTAAGTAAAAGGGTATTGAATGAGAATAACAGTAAAAACCATGCAGTTCTTTAAGATTTGGCGATAGTACTAGGTTACAAAACTTGTGTTACGACCCACATGCTCAAATCCTCTTAAAGTAGACAGTAGTACAATACATAAAAAAGGCAAGACAGAAACATGTGTTTTTTTATTTATTCGTTGGATAATCATCATCATCAGATCTACATTCTACTTCTAATGCAAATAAATAAACCTTAATTCATCACAGCAAGCAAACCTCTCTGTTAAAATATCTATGCTACCTATTCAATTACATCATTAATGAATGTTTAATCAATCAATTGATTTAATTTCAACAAAACTTTTCCAAAAGGGAATTCTCGGATATAGCTAGGTATTGTCCTGATGTAAACTGAACAATGCAGGTGTATACACGCCCTTATACTTAATTACACTTTCTTATTTGTTCTGTAATTGTTATTTAAATACACGAAATTGCGTGTAACAAATTAATATGCTGTTATACATTCAGGTATAACAGCAGTGGGTAGACCAGTCAATGTGATAGGTAGATAAATAAATTATAAACAAATTTTCTTAATATTTATTGGAACTAAGTTCCTAATATAGGACGATATTGCGGATGGGGGGAAAATCCATTACATCCTAGCGAGGCAGCTAGCTAGGCAGCTGGGATCTTTTTAAAATGAGAAATAAAAGCAACAACAGAAGTGTAAGAGACACATTTTTTTTTAATAATCTACCGAAATATTTTGTTACTGAAAACAATGTAATTGCATGTGTGTAAAAGTATATAATGCAATACCTAATGAAATAAAATGTCTACCCAGTAAATTAATTAAATCAAAACTAATAACTTGTCTCAAAAAAAAATAATACTGTAAACGATATTTTTAATGACAAATTGACAATAAAATAATCTTAATTACGTTTTTATTTAGAGTTGCATGGTTTATTTTGAGGAAATGAATGAATATGATTGAAGTTAATGTATATATAATTTAAATAAAAAAAAACACTTAATTGAATTATTTGTACTTTATATTTTGATTTTTATAGTTATATACAGACAGTAAATACCCTTGTTTTAATTTGACTATTTGTCTTCTGTATAAATTGCATGTAATTTATGGTAAAATAATATGTAGAACCTGAACCTGCAATAAAGAAATCGAATCTGGGTCAGTGTTGCCATCAAGTTTGATGGAGTTGCTGTATTCGATACATCAGATTGCCGTATTTTTAAATAAAAATCATGATATAGCCGTATTAACTAATTTTATTTATTAAAATTTATAGATAGTTAGTAACTAATTAATATCTAAAGAAAATATAACTAGAAAAAATTCCACGTGGACCAGGCAGCAGACGGGACTTCCGCCTGGTCCGCGTGGAATTTCTAGTTATATTTTCTTTAGATTTAAACATCAAGCAGTTACAAGCTTTAAAATAATAGAAATTATAACTAATTAATAGTAACTATATTATAAAGGTAACAAATAAAAAAATAACCTACTCATTAATATCACCGTCATACAAATTTTTAGTAGACAACTATTTCGCTGTCGTGTTTATTTATACTATATTTGCCCTTCTTTTTAATTTTCAGCCACATATCACGGGCTAAAATGTTGTACAGTTTACTTGATTTCTGATGGATTGCTTCGCCAAAAGAGTTCCATTTACAGTTTCAGAAACTAATGTAGTTATACTGCACGTGGATTCCCAGTAAGGATACATTCTTCGTGCTAGGGATGTGCCTAAACTGCAATTTTATACGATGTTTTGTGGGAATCGTAATTAACTCAAAATATTATCCTTGTAAATCGGTTCAAAAAAATTCGGAATCGGATTGCCCTATATTATTACAAACCTGCCGTATGTCGTATATTCTGAAATTATGAGCTCAAAGTGCCGTATATAACGGCAATTGCCGTATCAATGGCAACTCTGATCTGGG